TATTATATATATTATATTGTGTAACCTGATTTTTGCCCAGACCCCCCCCTCCCTAAAAAATCAGGTGATAAATGACATGTCCCTTATCAATATCAATAATTGTTTTAGATCACGATAGTGAATATTTGATACCTGATATAGCTAGATTTATTTCTGATACATAGTTTTTATATCGTGATCCATATATTGCATCGATTGCAACTATTTTTTTAAAGGTTTTTTCATTTGAAGTATGATCACTATGATTGTTATTGTCATTATGGGTGAGAGTATTAATAAAATTAACGATAACTGGATTACGATTAGCTAACCAGTTATTAGGCGTAAAATCCAATAAATTATTAAGTGAAAACCGTTCTTTATTTAAAATTAATGATTCAATATTATTATAAACATTTTGGCGTTCTTGGTTTGCAATTTGAATTACGGAATCAATTCTTTTTTTTTGACTGCTAAAATGGGTTTCCCATTTATATTTCAATGCATTATTTAGTTCAGTTAGTTCTTTATTTACTTTACTTATTTCTTGAACATGTTCCCAACTTTCAATTACATAGTTGTATACATAATCTAATCGCTTTTTAAGATCTTCCACCTCACTTACTTTCGAATCTAGCTGTGATTGAAGAAAACCAACAAGGTTTTTAAGAGAATGCAACATAATGTCGGATACTTGTATGCCGACCTCATGGGTTTTCTGATTAACTTGCACACTGACTTCATTAGTCTGTTTATTAGTTTGAACATCTGTTTTATGAGTATACTGCGTGTGAGCTTGCTTTTCAACAATTCATTGTCAAAATCATTATTTACTTACTGCTTTTGGCTATTACGCTTATTTTTAGGAATATTTGAATCTAAAAGCAATTGTCGCAAAAAATCAGATGCAATAAGTTGGTTATAATGCTTTTCGCATAAAGAAAAATCATGTAAATATGTTTGAAATTGCATTAATTCAGGAAAAAATCATTATATAATTGAAGACGAGTTTTTGGTTTATTACTATCAGCATGTTGAATTGTTTGTGAAGCTTTAGTTTCACATTCCAATAAAACCAAATTTTTATATAAAGGAACTAAAGTAGCAAAGACGCAAGGTAAATCCTTTGCTTTTGGTCGTTGGTTTCCTTGGTTAGCTTGGCTGACTTCCACTAATAAAAGAGAAAAATAAATCGTATGAAGTTTAATAATAGTGATTCTTAATAATGTTGTAATGTAAAATATCTAAATAAATTTATTACACACTTATAGCGATAATAAAAAAAAACTGAATTTCAACAGTATTTCTAAGTTAGCAAGGAACTATATAATAATAGTAATACTAATACGGTTGTATGATATCAGAATAGTTATGATACTAAGAAAGTAGGAGGCTGGCGTTAACACAGTAAAGATCAGAGGTGCTTGTTTGCTTTTCAATGAATTTCTAACAGTTAAAAGAAAAAAAAGAAAAGTTTTAATACGCTTTATACTTTTTAATAACCCAAAAAAACCCGTGTCTTGTCATGCTTATAAACTTTAAAAACGAGCTGATTATGGAAATGTTTCGACTGATTGTAAAACTACTTGCTTGAAACTTCTTAGTTTCATTAGAGTTCATCATGTTACAAAGACAGATCGTATAAACTTATCATGTGAAACTCGTGAAAACATTCAAAAATTTAATAAGAAATTGGACAATCAAATTTCTAGATCATGTGTTATATAACGAATTTCGTTTTGGAATAATCTATATACGATTTATCAAATATAGAAATATCCTAGACTGTAATAAGTGAACTTGTTCAACACATAAAAAATACATATATATATTTCAAACTTTAAACTGTTTGCAAACTTTCAAACCAAACCCGGATCAAACTCAAACTTAACTAAAAAGTTTAAAACCAAACCAAACTGAACTTGATTTTAAAATCAAATCCAATCTAAACTTGACTAAAAGTTTGATTGGTCTGGTCCGATAGGAGCACTACTTATTATATTTGATAAAAAGTTGATCTACCATGTCTGTTCTATAATTCAAACCCGATAACCTGCTATTTTTAATAACTGATACTCAAAAGATCAGATACCTATAACAGTCAGGGAATATGTCACATGTTCATATATGTGACTGCATAATCATAGTAAAATGTAGATTAAATTTTTAGAAATTTACTATAAAAATTTTAGAAAAATTTCATTTGCCTTAATCGAACCACATGACAGATAAAAGATATTAAAATTATGTTTTATATAATGTTATTTTACAGGTTTCACTCTATTGACAGCATAAGTTTGAAAAATGATTTATATGTAAACGGAAAATAATGCTAGGCTTAAAGTTTGGTAACACTTTAGAAGATTTTCTATAGAAGGAACTTAAGAATCTCTAACTAGCCAAAATTTTGATTCGAGTTTTAACCTCAAACTATCACTTATCTATAGTAACACTTTTTTCAAAACTTTTCACCAGGATTTGTTGCCATTTATAATAGATGTCTTTGAGCTTCTGTTCGTAGCAAGATAAGAAGAATCTCTAAACTACAGTAAGTAAACTAATTCACAGTTGTGAAAGTTAGTTTCGCATACTTTACCAGAGCTATACTCCAGATTTGTCTTTATTATAGTTGTGTTAAAATCTTCGGGCCTTAATTAGAGAAGTCTGCTAGGCTTATTTTAATTTCTTAAAGCATATATGAAAGAATTTCTACTATTAGTCATGATTTTATTTTATTAATTTTTTTCTATTCATGCTGACAGACAACTTTTGAGTTTCTTACTCAAGTTGATTTAATATGATATAATTTATTTCATTTCTTGTTCACTTTTATTTAACCACTTCGTATTTTCTTCTATTATCAAGAAAATGGTTATTAAAGCTTATGTAAGATAGGCTGGAAGTATATTGATTATTTAGAAATATTTATCAATCAAGTATTTGAAAGAGAAAATATATATGATCCAAACTGTGAGAGATTATGTTTATAATATTGATGATTAAGTAATTTATCATTGTGAATACGCGGAGAACCATGATAAAAACGGTCAGACCCAACGTACAGGGCAGACTATGACACACTTCACGGCCATAAGAAACGGGCTTAAAACGGCGAGCGATTCTGCAGAAGACTATTTGTCCAAATCATCATCAACATCTTTAGACTCCTATAATTTGGATGCATGCTATAACAAATACTTATCATACCATAAACTTCTTCTTCTTAAAGGACCTCAAACTCTACAATCCTTTTACTCTCACCTCAGTATCCATGCACTACATCTTAAAAAATTTG